AGTCATAAATGTATATAATCTTCAGAAAGAAGACAGCCTTTCTTCCCACATACGAGATCCAGTGTGTGTGTGATATTTTCCTAAGTATATATGTCTTTGCTTCTTAAAAATGAATCATTTAGAAGAATGTCCCCTAAATTTAAATATGATCATTGAAAGTATGAAACATCACTTTCTCTTCCTGTTTGTTATCATGGATTTTAAGTGATGAAGCTATGAAATCTGCTCTCAAATTAAAGGTCTGTTTGTGAGTGCCCAGTGCCACCAGATGGCAATCTTAGCTTCCATCACACGGCGTTTTTATCAAGTGCCCAGCACTGTGCTGTACACTCAATGTCCATTGTCTCATTTAATCCTCACTGCAGTTTTGCATATGAGGGAACCCAAGCTGGGAGTGGAGCCGACGCCTCACGGTGGCTCAGCAGTGGGAGTGGGTGGGGCAGGAGGCCCCCTGACTCCCAATCCCCTGCCTCCCCCACTAGGCGTCCTGGGCCTTTAAAGCAGAAGAGTTGTTATGTTTTCCCTGGTCTCTTTGTTTTTAACGTATAATCTGAACTCTTCCTCAACTCCTTCTGGTACATTTGTAGATTAGAACAGGGATCATTGTATTTGCTTTTCTTTGGCTCTTTTCAGTTCTGTATTTATAAATAGCCCTCTGAAAGTCACTGTGCCATTCAAAACAGGACGAGTACTTTAGTATCTTTTCTTGTGGAGTTTCCGTGTACCCATTCAAAAGGAGGTAATCATCTATACGTGAGGGCTGGGAGTTAGGGGATCAATCTAATCAGTTTAGAAAGTACTGTTTATAATGACCTAGGCTGATCTATAGACTTCCAGTGGAACAGAGCAGAGAGGACTTGTCCACCATCAGAAGTCCAACTCAGTAAGGACGGGGTGTTTGTTTTGCCTGAAATTACAGTAAGGAACAAGCTTACTCTCAAAAATATAGACCTAGAAATGAAGAATGTGAACTATAGCAGCAAGATTAGATAGATGTCACCTAGTTTTATCCCTTCTATTGCTTGTTGGTATGGAGTACTGTTTGCAAATTGCCTTTGTGATGATGCCAAATTAACAAAAGTGTTTTGGAAATTCAGAAGTGCAGCACTGGTTTGCTTTGGTTTGGTTTTTCCATATAGTTCCCTCTGGGTCACTTGTTTCTACCACTGTCTATTCTGCTTCTGTAAGTCATTTTGTCCCCAGAGCTTTAAGTTGCTTCCCCAAAACCAGCCCGTCTGTGCCAGGAGTGGAAATTTCAGCATTCTTCTTATATTACCATAAAAAGGGGTTAATACGAAGCTTTAAGAAGAGCTCCACCAGCTTGTCAACAAAGAAGAATTGAATGGTAGTTGGGAAGTTAACCAGCTGCAATCTTGTAGACTTATTTCAAGGCCATCTGGGTGGTCTCGGAAAGGAATGGTAAACCAAGGTAGACTGGGTTTGTAATTTCAGTATCTTCATGTAGAGCGACATAGACTCCCCAGGTCATGAAACATAATTGGTATCCCTCTGTACACAGACCAATGTGAGTAAAGATGTGATTACCATTTTGCTATCTTTCTATCAAAGAAAAAACGCCACCAAAAAAAAAAAAAAGCTTTTTTTAATGTGCATGGGATTGGAAAAGCTTATAATAGTTGGAATCATGACTGTGTGAAAACGGGTTTAAATTAAGTACTGATTGTTCCAATCTAAGCAAAAACATAACATTAAAGTTGTAGACATCACATGCTCTGCCCAAGGAGAAATTACAGCTGTTATGTAGCCTGGTCTTTCTTACATACAAAGCTTCAAATATGCAAAATTCTAGTGGCCTCTATATGTTAGAGGGAATTCCAGGTCTTTAAACATTGAAAGTCGGAACTGTTATATTTCTACAAAATTTTATTTGGAATCCTGGCTGGTGTGGCTCAGTTGGCTAGAGAGTCATCCTATAAATGGAAAGGTTGAGAGCTTGATTCCTGGTCAGGGCACATGGCTAAGCTGCAGGTCAGTCCCTGGTCCGGAGTGTATGAGAGGCACCCAATTTACATTTCTCTCCCTCTCTCCTTCCTTCCCTTACCCCCTCTCTAAAATCAATAGGCGTGTCCTCAGTGAGTATAAAAACAATTAAAATTTTGTTTGGAAAATATTCTTTAAAGTAATAAAACCAAGTTTCTCTTTACTTTTAAAATGTTTCAGGTGCATAAAGTTTTAGAATTCTGCTCATTTAATCTCATTCCCCTAAGTTACCACTGTTATTTTGGTACATAGTTGTGTAAGAAGATATTGTTCCAAATTTTCTTGATTTTTTTTCCCCTAAGTTACCACTGTTATTTTGGTACATAGTTGTGTAAGAAGATATTGTTCCAAATTTTCTTGATTTTTTAAGACCTTAATTTAGAAGAGATAAAACTAATTTAATTAAAAGAAAAGAATTATGCTACAGTGAAGAACTGTCAGTCCTGAATGTTAGTATATAAAAGTGTTTGTGCCCTTTTCATTCATAGATAGATAGATAGATAGATAGATAGATAGATAGATAGATAGATAGATAGATTTTTATAGCCAGCTACACACTGGTTAACATATATGCCAGATACTTAGTTCTGTGCTGTTCATACAAGCCACATGTAACAATTGATCACTTAAAGGGCAACTGACCCCAAATGAAATGTGCTGTAAGTTTAAAATACACACTGGATTTCAAAGGCTTTTGTACAAAAGAAAGAATGTGAAATATCAGCTCAATAATTTTTATATTGATTACATGTTAAAATGACAATATTTTGATTATACTGAATTAACTAAATATACTGTTACATTTAATTTCACTGTTCTTTTTCTTTTTCTAATGTGGTTACTAGGAAAAATTTAAATTACAAATGAAGCTTGCGTTCCTGACGCCCCTGTACCTCCAGTGGACAGTGAGCGCCAGCCCAGGCCGCGCATGTCCACTCCTAACGTTGTAGGTGCAGCACCGTCCTCGCAGACAGGAAATCCTGCTGAATAGCTTTTAACGAGAACCTCTGATTTTATTTTCTCACATTTCAAATGCTGTTTTTCAACATTCTCTTTTGATTCTTTTTTTTTTTAAGTCCCAGTATAGTGGTACTTTAAACTGCATCTTCCTTTGATACTAGTAAGTCTCCCAGGAATTTAAATAGTCCTCAGTGAAAGCAATACTTGAGCCTCATTCATATGTTCAAGTTAGATCATTATTCCTAATAATGGCTTTAAGTGCTTAGATAGATCAGCACTTCCGTCTTGAATTGCTTGTCATTTCTTTATAAAGATGTTTCAAGAAATGGAGCTGTCCCCTCTTTCATTGTTTTCCAGCCAAAGGTAACATAATCCTTTATTAGTTTGTTGGAAGTCAGAGAACAAAAGTCCTTTGTATTAACAAAAACAAAATGTACTTCCAGGTACCGAAAATAAAGGACAAAATTAGTCATGAGGGATGGTCTTGGGGAGTTAATTTTTTTAAACAAACCAGGAGGCACTGCTGATCTGCCAGTGGCTTTAACCTCTGTCGGATTTTCCCACTGTACTGAGTCCAGGTTGTCATCAGCTACCACAGGGAAACCGATCTAATTCCTCGAGAGAGAAGAGTTGCACTGTTAGACTTAATAGTATGGTAGTCATGGAAGCATCAGTTATCTTCATCAAGGCAATTCAGATTTGATTATTTTAAAACTGTGTGTTGAATACCAAACCAGTGGAGTAGTAGCTGGAGCTAAATCAAGGGATTGTCATTTTTGTTAGATGATTAGGGCTGACTTGGAAGAGATATGAAAGGGTTGAGCTGTGTAAATATCCTCTTTCAGCAGGAAAAGAAAAGGTCCATCACGGCCATTAAGATGCAGCTTGTTAGCTTGATGAATTTCAAACTATTTAACCTTAGCAATTATATACCCCCGCCTGCATGCAAGTGTATCAGTGCCGTAGGTTTATGTCTCCAAGGACTGATGTAAAAACATATTGGTAATTTTCCGTTAAGATAAAACGCAGCCTTTCTGTGTGCAGATGGGTCTTTTAAAGGACAGGGCATGTCCTGGTTCAGAGTCCTAATTATGTGCTCAGGGGAACATTGGAACACATAAGTTTTTAAAGTTTTTAAATAAAAATAGATGTAATTGAACATTTTAGAAAGGACGGTATTCATTTGAGTAATGCATTATTAACATGTTACATTTTTTATAAAGTAGGTTAATTTTTTGTCCACGAGGAACTTGATACATTTAAATAAATAGACACATTACATTAATAGCAACATTTTAGACACACCTGACTTATGACTCAAGGACATTTCTGTAATGTTTATAAATAATATTAAATATGAGAAAGGACAGTGTATAAAATGTGCTTTTATAAAAATGTGCTTTTTGGTCAATTTGCTTTTGTATTGTGCTGATACCCTGCTAGTATTTTCACTACTTGGGCACTTATTAAACTAGTATGTAAGAATAGATGACATAGAAATTGCTAACTTGAAAAGAGTTGCTGAATTCTTGAAATAATTGACTCGTTTCTGAAGAAAGACTCGGTGCGCCATCTAGTGGGCATACTTAGCATTCTCTGTGTCAGAAACGGACGCATTTCTCTTACTCTTCCTCCAAAATGCAGAATTCTTGACACTTTGTATCTCCTGGTCATTAGCATAGATTGTGCTCCCCTGAAATCTCATCATTTCTCAGTTTTGTTGTGATTTTATTATATTGTGTTTTGGAAAGTCGCATTGAAAGTGATCAAAATCATCAAAAGTAAATTTAATGAGAGAAATAAATCAATATGGGCTATGAGATAAGGAAAAGAAAAAGATATTAAAAGAATTTCAGTCTTTACTCAGGACTGTCAGTTACAAAACTTCAACAATAAAAGCAAAGTCCAAGCATACTACTTATTAAACTTCTTTATTTTATGTATTTTTTCTGAAAGAATATAAAAACAATCATTTTGTCATTTTATATGCTAATGTATAACATAAATAGCTTTATACATTTTAATTCTTTCTTTTATAGAAAAATCCAAGACCAGTGACTTATCAGTTCCATCCAAATTTGGATTATTACAAAGCAAGGGGAGCAGACCTCATGGACAAGAGCCGGTGAGTCCTCTTTATCCAATGAAAGGCATACGCCACAACGGTATTCTCAGAGATCATCAGGAAATATTGCACAACTGCTGAAAAGAATTTTCCCGTTTTTAGCATATCAGTGGTTAATGAATATCATGAATCTTTGTTAAATAAATTATCCAAGTATTTTTATCTGAGTTCTTTTTAAAGGCATAAGAAAATGGTATACATCGATGTCAGTAGTGAGACAAAAAATTAAGGAAGAGTACTTTAACAGTTCGAAGTCAGGCAACTTAATGTTTCTAACGTTAATAAACCTAAATAAAGTGTGCCTGCTTGTGTAATCTCTTTCTAGATCCTTGCTGTTGATTGAAAAGACGCAGTTCTGTAACATATTTTTAAATTATTTCAGTAACAAAATTAAAATTGATTTTCCCAACTGTCTTTGGAACTACACAATAAGCTTATAAATGCATCTTGTGTGTGCCTTTGTGATTGCATACACAGAAACTTTAAGGGTCACTTTAGGAATTAAAGAACATTAAAATCCTACTTTTAAAAGAAATTAACTTTGGCATAAAGGGTTGATGAACAGTTTTGTTCTTTCATAATACTGTACTCAGATGTCTCAAGAGTTAACTTGTCAAACCAGAACCATCTCAAATTAGAATGTAATTTCAAAGTTTACTCTAGGAACCTAAAATGTTAGTAATGATAAATGCTGCCAAGTTGTCCGCATTTTCTTCCTTAAGCATCTTGCCTTTGTGCTAGCTTTTCTTCAGCTGGAATTCGGCAACTGAAATGTACATTTACGGAGCAGGCACACACCACGTGTTCTGCTCTTACCAGGGAAGTTAGAAAGAGGACATACTTCTGCCTTGTAGAAACTCATCATCTAAGGGATGAGAAGTTTACAAGAAGGTGGCTAAATTTGAACTTGTATTTTTTTTTTATAAAATGGAGGAAGAGATAGGAGTGTTATTTTTAAAAACCACAACTAATGAGGACAGAGAATATTTAACTTGGATTGAAAAAGACAAAAACTTTGGACCAAGATTTCTAATACATGTACTTATTTATGATTTTAAGCTAACTTTCCCAAGCCCCAACTTTTGTGATACTGTCCTCTTTTCCCTAAAGTGGCAAAAAGTAAACATGTTAGTACAATGTTTAGAATTAAGCATTAGCAGTAAACCTGTATTTTCAACTGTGTTTCAGTGTAATCTTACTTTAAATTACCCATCCTTGATTGAAATCTGCCTCATATTGTGATGCACAGTGTAATTATGAGACCAGTTTTATGGCCCAGGAGTCTTCTCAGAGGCCCTTTTCTGATGTTCATTTCATCTGATTCTTGTTTCACAAATAGAAGGCTATTCCCTGTAGTCACTTTGTTGATTTTATTTAACAAATTTTTAATGAGTGCCAGACTCTCCTTATGCTACACATTGGAGGCACACAGTGAACGAACCAGCCAAAAATCCCTGCCCTCAGGAACCTTACAGTCTAGTCACTTTTATTTACTCTGTTATGTCAAGTATTTCATTTTGTTTTGTTAAAAGAACAAGATATTTTAGGCACTTAATCTATACAAAATCTTTCTAACTGAAGTCCCTTCCTCTCTTCCCTGTCTTCTCGCCCCTGCCCCAGATTAGCTTCTTCACACAACAGCCGAAGAACTCTCCATTTACAGCAGATTACATCATGCTTCCCACTTAATGCCCGCCCACAAAGGCTTCCTCTTACCATTGATGATCCCATCTTCCTCCACCCCTTCTGTCCTTGACCTTACCTCTTTCTGCTCCCCCTCTTCTTTGCTCCCCTCCCATCATCTTCCTGACCTCTTCACATAGGGCTCAGCCCACACAGTCATGTCAGAGAGCTGCTCTTAACCTCTCCTTGTTCTTTCCCTCCCCTACTCTCTCTCTCTCTACCCATTACCCAATCTTGTTTTCCTCATAGCATTCATTTCAAACTGGTTATATTCTTCATTTGTCTACATATCATCTGTCTCCCCAACTTCCCCACTAAAACCTAAGCCCCTGTCTTACAAACCACTCATGGCCCCGAGGTGACACCTAGGTGGTATTGGGCGGGTACTTGACAAATATTGCTGTATGTATCGTTGTAGTCCCTGTTTACATGTTTCAACATGTACTTTTTTTTTCAAGAAAGGAAATGGACTGTGCCCTTCCTTTTCTCCCCTTCACGTTTTATATTTCTTTTATTTAGCTTTTCATCCCTGTATTTTCCTTCTGAAAAATGTTGATTTTGTTTTATATATTTTCTTATAAGCACATTAAGATTCTTATACAAAGTATATTATTTTGACAATTGGAAGGGAGGTTTTTCATCATCTCTGTTGTAATTTCAAGGCTTGAAATTGAAATTGAACCAAATGAAACATACTATGTGAAGATGTCACAGAGCAGTGAGCAAGAGAAGAGTTAATAAATGGTGCTGGGAAACTTGATAAATCTTTTTAAAATGTATCAACTTATAACCTTACCCCATACTAAAATAAATTCCCAGTGAATCAAAGTGCACTCAAACAAGCAAACGCAGAAATAGAATACAAGTGGCTGTGTGACCGACCTCTAGTTATTACAAGGCTTTTTAACCTTAAAAGTAATGGAAGAAGCCGCAACAGGAATGACTGGTAGATTTTACTCTACAACTGTTCTTAAGTAGCTGTGTCAGAAGTAAAATAAACTGAATCAAACACAAACAGAAAATTGGGGAAATGTTTGTATTGGAAGCAACAGGCAAAATGCAGCATCATTAGCGTATAAAGGACTTGGCAGTTCAGTGAGAGCCAAGCTCCTGTCTCAGTGGCCATCCTGCCCCGCATCAGATCCAGCCCAAAGGGGCGGAAAGCCCCTCCAGCGCTCCTTGCTCTGTCCTCCTTCCTTAGAGGATCTCAACCCAGGTCCGTGGCTTTCAGTACCATTTATGACTGAAGGCTTCATTTACCTCAGTTTGGCCTCTGTCCTTAAACTCTGGACTCATATATACTGCTGCTTACTCAGTAATTCCTTTTGGATGTCCTTTGTGCATCTCAGTTTTAGTGTTTTCTTAAATAAAGCTCTTGATTCTGACTCCACATACCTGTTACTCCTGAAGTGTTTCTCCATCATGAAAAATAGTACAACCCAGTGAATCAAGTCTTAGAATTGCCCTTGACTCCCCTCACCTCACACATCAAGTCTGTTAGGAAGTCCTCTTCAAAACATGTCCTGAAACAAGTCACTCTTCTCTGTAAATCTGCTAATACCGAGTCATCACACCATTGCTTTTCTCTTAACCTGTCTTCCTATATCTCCTCGCCTCCGCCTTTCCACGCAGTAGCCACATTAATGTAAGTCCAATCCTAACACTCTTCTGCTCAAGCCCTTCAGTGACTTCCCAGGACACTTGGGACAAAATCCAAAGCCTTTTCAGTGGCCTCTATGATTCAGCCTCCTACTAACCCTCCAAGCCCATTTGCTACCACCTCCCTTCCCGGTCGTTCATTGGCCCGCAGCCACACTGGCCTGCTTACTATTCCTGAGGCACGCAAACATGTTCCCACTTCAGGAGCTTTGGTCTTGCTTTCCCCTGTGCCTGGATCCTTCCCCTAGAATCCACATGGCACGTGTACCATTCCGTCTCTGTGCAAATGTCACCTCTTCGTAAAGCCTCTCTTTCAAGACTCTACCTAAAATAATGGACCCCTGCCCTGGCTGGTGTGGCCCAGTGGACTGAGCATGGGCTGCAAACCAAAGGCTCACCGGTTCAGTTCCCAGTCAGGGCCCATGTCTGGGTTGCGGGCCAGGTCCCCAGTGGGAGCCGAATAAGCGGCAACCACACACTGATGTTTCTCTCCCTCCTTCGCTCCCTCCCTTCCCCTCTCTCTAAAAATAAAATAAATAAAATCTTTTAAATAGTGGGCCCCTTTCCTCAGTCCCTTTGCTTTGCTTTCTTACTTAAAAAAATTTTATTTATTTATATGCAGAGAGAGGGGAAGGGTAAGAGAAAGACAGAAAAATATTGATGAGCAAGAGAAACATCTATCTCACACATGCTCAACTAGGGACCTGACCAGCACCCCAGGTGTGTGCCCTGACTGGGAATTGAACCAGCAGCCTTTTGGGTCACAGGCCGGTGCTCAATCCACTGAACCACACCAGCCAGGGCACTTTCTTACTGTTTTTGTTTTTGTATTTTTTAGCACAAAATGGTATTTGTAGCTTTTAAAAAAATTGTTGGGCTTTTTGTTTGTTTTTGTCATGTTTCTTGCACTGAAGTGTAAACTCTAAGTGTTTGCCTAATAACTGTTACACTCCCAGCACCTAAAATAGTGCCTAGAATGTGGTAGGCACTGGATGAAAAAAGAGAGTTACAAACACTAAGTAAACATTTAAAACACTGTTCAGACTCATAATAATGCAAATCGAATTACCAATAAAGTACCATTTTCACCTTTTAAATTAGCAAATTAAAAATAAATGAGCCAGAGGTGATTAATTCCTAGAGATCTACTGTACAGAAATATTTAATAATACCACATTATATACTTAAAAGTTTCCTAAGAGGATAGCTCTTATTTTAAATGTTATCACAAAAAAATAAAGAGTATGGGAGGAAACTCTGGATGTAGTGGGTATGTTTATGGTATAGATGGTGGTGATAGTTTTGCAGACGTCAGTTGAACCTCAACAAAGTGGTGTTGAATGAATGAGTGAGTGAATGAATGAATGAATGAATGAGGAGGCCAGCACTGGTGAAGGTGCGCAGATACCCTTAGGCACCCGTCGAACAAGTGTAAATAGAGGCCTACTTGATAATCTTGCCCAAGAAATCTTTCTGTGTATCTCCTATTCTCCGGAAGTTTATCAGGGGCCCTTTAGCCATCATTAGTTTTGCAGCTACTTTCTTTGCTGTTTAGAGTCTATTAAAAAGTTAACGCAACGGGTCTGTCATTGAACAGCAAGATGGGGCGAGGGGGTGGTGCAGAGGGGATATCTCTACTGTGAGGGGACCTCCCACAG